TTCATGAACCAGGTCCAAGAGGGTACATATAGAAGGTCGCAGGAGATGAAAATGCAAAGGGGGAACATTGGTCCGTCTTTTGGAATGGTTACTTGTACAGTTCCTCGAGTATTTTGTATCAGCTGCGCCTGTTAAACACGAATGTAAAGTACTGAAATATAGGAGGTGGTATTTTTTTTTTTTTTTTGTGACCGAAGTGTTTGTACTTACCTAGGAAGTACAGATACGGATACGTGACATAAGTACGATACGATAAAATTTAAAAACGGCCAGAATATATTTATAATAAAATATATTTTATATTTTATTATTATTTAACGACTTAAATATTATAATTTTTCAATAATTCTATAACATTAGTAAGTAAAATTAGGAATTTTTACCATGAAAAGGATGTAAAATTGTCTCATTATGATATGTTCATAAAATGAGTATGACCAATTGAAGGAATCATAATCACATTTAACGAGTTGGTTTTATAAGTATTTATTTTTAAAAGTATAATGTAAGTTACTCATTTTTTTATATTGTATGTGAACTCGGGTATATCTTAAAATTAAAAATTGTACATCTTACTCTATATTTAGAAGTATCTTCGAAGTATTCATATATTTTATTAATTATCGGATATAGATGATGTGTATTTGATATGTATCATCGAGTATCTGGCGAGTATCATATTCAAAACAGATATGTCGATTTTAATGAAGTATCCGTGCTTGGCAGGGACTTCGAAGTTTGCTAGGTTGTCTGAGATTTATGACAGGGACTTCGAAGTTTGCTAGGTTGTCTGAGATTTATGAACCCAATGTTACCGAAGCTTAGGCTATGCATTTGGGCTGTTCCATGCTCAGGGGTTTTTATGTGACTAATATTTCTTGGCTGATGGAACTTTCTATACTTGACCTTGTAAGTGGCCCATTATGGACTCAAGGTTAAATTGCTGTTGTGGAGGATTGGACCTTTTGGCCCTTTCCAAGTAGTTGCTGAAGTTGTTTGGAGAGATTTCCTTTATGGAAACCTCGTGTACTCAAATGCAATAATCAGCGCTAGTTTCCTCAACACCCCCCGCCCCCCCCCCACACACACCACCCCAAAAAAAAAAACGAAAACCACAGGGACGGAGTCAGAATTTTTATGGAAAAAATGGACAATAGACTATTGAGGGCAATCAAATCGAATCTATTTATACTTTGGAATCGATTATTCTAGAAAATCATAACATTTCATTGTGTTGACGATCAATCAGGTCATCTTCAAGGTATGCATGTTGCATAACTCTTGAAGCAGGTCATATACACTACTAATATGAAAGATGCACATAACCTTAAGATCACTCTACATGTTATATACCTCTTGAACTCTTGAAACCCTTTTCTGTTCGTTGAATATGCACCAGGAAGCAAAAGAAAGGTAGGCCATGGAAAGACTTGACAGTTTTTTTCAGATTGAATGCAAACTAATTGAACCGCCACTACAGAAACCCTATGAACTCAACGGAACTTTCTGTTATGAAACCATGGGTAGAAATTGTCCCTGAAAACCAACTTACATGGTAAAGGTGCCTAAGAGTTCGTATATACACATCTAATTTTATTTTTAATTGATGTGAGATCGTAACACTTTCTCAATTCCAATGTAGCTTTTCGTGCTCCCACAGAAAATGCTCATTGATGATGCACAAAAGTGGATTTATGCATTACTTGTCAAGTAATTAATATAGGTAATAAATGCACCATATGCAGTAAATATAAAGACGTGATCAACACAAGTAACACAGATATTAAATGGTTCGGTCAAAGTGACCTACTACATTTTGAAGGAAACGACGGTGACCGTAAGACTTTATTGATAAAGTAGTTGGTGAGAGAGAGAGATAGACAACAAGAGTAAGCTTTAGGTGTGGAGAAATAGCTCTTAGAGATGAAGAGATGTGTTGTGTGTCCCTCATGTGTAGAAGGTTTACAATTTATAAATACAGAGCCTTAGTTGAGACGGTGACATAAGAGATAGGTCACTAGTCCTTTCGGGGTGATAGCTACAACAAAGAATAGGTAAAATTAAAGATAGTCTTGATCTTCAAGTAGTGGTTATCCTGATAATTACTCCCATCGTACACTAATCTTCCTGNATAGTCTTGATCTTCAAGTAGTGGTTATCCTGATAATTACTCCCATCGTACACTAATCTTCCTGAATTTCTTGAACTTTGAACTGGACTAATACCATGAACTAGGCTTGATTTACCTTTTAATTGATTTGGGCTTACCCATGAATTAGACCTAGATGCAGCTTCATCTGAGCTCATCACTTGCAATTCTACTACGAAAAAATTGCATGTATCCTGGACCTCTTTGAATTAGTTTCATTAACATTTTTGGGAAAATTTTCAAACAGTATGGGGTTACAATAAATGCTTTTTCAGATCAATACTTCCAGAGAGATCCTAATTCAGAAGGCCCTTCTGAAAAATAGAGAGATCATGTGCTACAATTGATATATAAACCTATAGTATATATCCAGAAGTTCTGTAATCTCTACGTTTTCTCTTGGCCTAAAATTTTGATAAGACCCCTCACCACGAGAAAATATTCAAGGTCACACCATGTTATCATTGACACGTAATGTCATCGTTTAATAATTAAATACCTGAGGCTATCTTGGATACTAAAATGCTACAACGAATAATTTAGGTCTCCTTTATTCTTACTTCAACAGTTCTACAAAGAAGGGGGAATGATACAGTACTGTCGAGACAAAAATTTCTTGTGGTTACTGAATTGCTCAGAATGTTCTTTTTGCACCACATACAGCATTCTGAGAAACAAAAAGATAGATTTATGCTGATTATTATGTTGAAGTATAAATATTCAAATTACGCACTCTTTAACAACTTAAGCTTTTATAGTAGATGATTGTTTAATATGGTATCAGAATAAAAAATCATGTGTTTGAATTTCGCCGCAACTCTAATGATTAAAAGATTTTTTTCATGCTAAAATTAGCTAGTACGTAAAGGAACGTGTTGAAGTATAAATACTTAAGTTACACTATCTCTAACAGCTTAACTTTTTAAAGTAAATGATTGTTTAACACATTGAAAAATCTGCAACCTTCATATATATATCCTTATATTGAAAGTGGATTTTCTTGTTGGCAAGTATATTGAATAGAGAAAGGGAGAAAATCTTGGTAGTTTGTTTGACAACATATGATGCAGGGATGGAGCATCAGAAGCAGTAAAAATATTCGAGAGGAGGTCATGACAAGATGGGTCAAGAGGAAAGTAACCTTCTTGTTTTGTTTTGTTTTTGTTTTTTCTCAGCCACTAAATTATTAGGGTTCACAATCAATAGATTAGCACATTATAGCAATAACCAAAGCAGAAAAAATCTATCATAACTAGGTAGTCAGTTGAAAAAACAAAACTCTTGTACTGTAAATGCTTCTATTTTCACCCATATATGATATCCTATTGAATTGATCGAATTCACTAAAAAGCCTTTAAGCCTATTCAATGAGGGACAAACTATGCATGGAAAAAAAGTCATCAGTACTGCATTCATAGAAGTCATAGTTACAACAAAATATGTTTTTTTTATTTTTATTTTATATTTTTCTCAACTGTATAAATCAGAGTTGTTTTTTTTTAAATGATAGTTTTGAATTAATTCGCCTATTCTTATACAAGCTAACTCCAATTATAGTTTTAGGATTTTATATAATTTCTTAAAAATGTTTCCTGTAAGAATCTACATGTTCAGTGTCAACTCTGAACAATAATCAAACTGTTTAAGTGTCCACTCTACAAACTTCTATATGTTTGGCAATGACATACATCTCTACACAGAACATTGTTCATAGTGAAATGAAGAAAGTATAAGAACCATTTACGAAGCTCTTTTTGCATCCTCTGGATTAATGTTATAATTCGTATTAGAGTTCAAAATACCAATTTGTCCATTTGAGCAAGCGAGATCCAGCTAAGGTAAGGAACTTCATGTCGCGGCTGCTCCACTCCGCTGCGGTCTCATGAACTGAACTTCGTAATTGCCTAGGATCAGTAGCTGGCTAGCATGGAAAGCTTTAAGAATAGAGGCTTTTGCAACTCTGCATTTTCTTCATGTGAAAGAATATTGGACTTATTTGAGACTATCACAAATATTTTTGAATTAGTGTATAAGATCTGTAAAAATAAATATTCTGCTGGTAATTAATATATCATAAATCTACAGAAAAATGAGAAGATTCCCTTCACGGGTTCAAAATGGAATTTAGTTTTGCAATAAAATGATTTTCACAATAGAGTATTATAGTGTGTTTTAAAAAAGATTGTGCATAAGACTCTAATATATAACGGGATTTAATACAAATTTGTGATAAACAATTTAACTTAATTTTAAAGAGATTGATTTCCAAACTCAAACTCATAAACATTTCGTGTAAATATATCAGTACTTACCATTGCGATAAGTCCATCACAAGAGTAAATGGAAAAAAGTTGATGAAAAAAACAAAAAATATAAGATAAATATGAACACAATAACCCATTTGTTCAGATATTCCTGACAGTTAACATTAATCCACAATGAACCAAAATTGTTCATTAAGTCAATGAAGGTCAAAGTATTCATAAAGCAATTAAGGACATCATCATTAATTATGTAACTCATCGAAAAAGAAAAACATCATTATGCTAAATTTGGTCTATTTACTAATTACCTTTAGGACGTACAGGAAAAGTTTTGGATAAAGACTACTATATAAATATATATTTATATATATTACTATTTCCAAATATCTTTACTTGGAGTTGTTGCTGATTAAAGTGATTATCATTTTAATCTTTCAATTCATAGGCATATAAGTCTCTCTCTGACAGCACTGAATATCAGCCCCCCCGACTTAAGTTAAAACCAGCTTTTTCCTTGAACAATATTGCAAAGAAGCTGTGTGTGTGTGTGTGTGTGAGAGAGAGAGAGAGAGAGAGAGAGAGAGAGA